TAGGAGTTTTAATTATTCTTTTCACTTCAAAGATCAACTAAATATGGCTGGGTGTGCACAAACGTCTGCATACTGCTAACAGTACCTGCAGTTAACAGTGTGTGATGAGTGCCCTGACGTCTGTAAGTTTCTGGTTGTAGGTACAACAGGGTACACTACTGATCACAGCCAATGGTGACTGATCTGACACATTTCAACCAGTGGAGGGCAGTTGTAACAATGCATTTCAAAACAGTGGGAGAAATTACTCTGACAAGGTCTTTTCCACTCTGCTCCATATTACTCAACAATAAAGCTTCCAAGTCACAACTAATTTGAACTTAAATCTGATCAGCCAGAATAACTGGAAACACCTGTGTCAGCGTGTTCTTGCTGCGGACGGGTAGTACAGCGCCAGTGTAGTGACGTGTAGAGCAGGGAGATACCAGGATTTAACACTAAACCAAATTTTTACTAAATACAATTAAATTACAAATAGATCAATTAACAAACTAACATTAGTTTCATCTGGTTTGAAAATGAAATGGAATTAAAACAGCCCATACATTAAGCAACAGACCTTTTCCCCCAGACATTTTGACTTATAGTAGGAAAAGCACAGGTCTTACTAATAACATTAACAACCTGGTCTGTTTATTGTGTCCCCTGTAAGCTATGACTATGACAGTGAGACAACATGTACAATACCAGGACCCTGGAACTGAAGCAGTAACATTGGAAATCTACTACATTAATGTTATTCATTTACACCTGCTTTTCCTGTGTGGCTTGTCAGAATGACATCTGTGCTTGTTTTTTTGGAATTTATTTTGTACAAATTGTCAATTGAAAATTTCTTACAAATGACAATGATCTTTCAGTCCACTTGGGGCTACACTAGTATAATCTTGACTAATGATCATATTTGGTTCTGGTACCACTATTACGATTAATACCCTTTTTGCATACAATTCATTACAATAACAGTTACAAGGAACAATATTTATAACATTCACATAATTATAGCCCTGATATACCTGCCTGTTCTGCCAGTCATTTACACCCTTCAGTGTGGAGCTTTTTTAAAACGTTTGCCATGCTTGGATTTTACCTGAAAATGTACTTCTTTTCACTGATTAGATATTCATGTATTTTAAAATAAATCGAACCTGGCATGTCTCAATATTTGTTCAAGCCATCTGCTCCAAACACCACTCAGCAGGGTTGAGACAGCTGCTGAATGAAAAAGAAAGTGACAGACGTGAGTCCTTACAGAGTTTATATTTTTTCCCACTCAGACGTTATGGAATAAAAAGTATAAAAGAACTGATGTTTACGGAGAATATATTTTGTGCCAAAGCTTCAATTTTCCTCATTGGAAACTAATCTTCTTTTCATTGTTTGTACTGTCATCAAACAAAAGCACACATCCACAGAAAGAAAAAAAGGTTGTTTACCAAGACCAACAGTTTTTGTGAAAGTCACAATACCTTTAAAACCTCAACAGCAGTTCATGGAAAATCTGAGAATGAACAACAATGGCATGAGTATGGGAACTATTTAAAAAAACAAACAAAAAAAACTTGTCAGTCCTAAACCCCCTCCACCTTAAAACTGCCCAATCAGATGACAAGTACTTGCCAGGATGATATGAATGTCTCAAATGGTAGGTCCACACTGAGGACAATGACAATCAAATGCTTTTCTGTTGATTGCTGGTTGGAACGGGGCATATTTCTGGCATTATTCACCTGTCTGATTGTCTGATTTGTTAGGGGTCTGGTTCTTCTAATTATGAAGGATGCCTGTCTTGTGTTGGAAAGGTTACACCATTTACTCAGCTGATGCATCCATCTACAGATAATCTGTATTATGTAAATTAAGTGAGCTCCTGATTAACAAAGCATACATAATAGACAACTGATTTTTCTTTCACAAATCAAAATTTTCATAAAAACCTTGGGGCAAATATTCAGAGCCAAAAAGCAACAGCTACAAGACACTAATTCAAGTTCAAAATGCTTTCTCCGATAGCTACAAGACTTCATGTGACATTGACTTAAACGCTAATTTGTTAAGCTCAAAGGTTAACATGTTGTGTTAAACATTTTTATGAAGGTGAAAATTCTTCTACTACTACTACTTTCTAAGTCATTGACGTTTTCTACTTTGACTGACAGACTGACTAGGAGAGTAAAACACTGATTTATAACCAACATCAGCCATCTGTTTTCATAATTGCTGCCACAGCTTCAGAAATGCAGCTGGATGTAGATGACAAACACATCTCTCTCTTTTAAAAAAAAACAGCAAAAAAAACCCCAAAACAGTACCACATTACTGTTTCAATCCCATTTTTTAAGTTCATGAAATAAAAAAAACTTACATTGCATGAACAATTAAAAAAAAGTCAGATTTCTTTCAAATACATTTGCTGCAGGAGTTTTATTTACTTCTTTTCACTTCAAAGATCAACTAAATATGCCTGGGTGTGCACAAACGTCTGCATACTGCTAACAGTACCCGCAGTTAACAGTGGTGTGATGAGTGCCCTGACGTCTGTAAGTTCTGGTTGTAGGTACAACAGGGTACACTACTGATCACAGCCAATGGTGACTGATCTGACACATTCAACCAGTGGAGGGCAGTGTAACAATGCATTTCAAAACAGTGGGAGAAATTACTCTGACAAGGTCTTTTCCACTCTGCTCCATATTACTCAACAATAAAGCTTCCAAGTCACAACTAATTTGAACTTAAATCTGATCAGCCAGAATAACTGGAAACACCTGTGTCAGCGTGTTCTGCTGGGACGGGTAGTACAGCGCCAGTGTAGTGACGTGTAGAGCAGGGAGATACCAGGATTTAACACTAAACCAAATTTTTACTAAATACAATTAAATTACAAATAGATCAATTAACAAACTAACATTAGTTTCATCTGGTTTGAAAATGAAATGGAATTAAAACAGCCCATACATTAAGCAACAGACCTTTCCCCCAGACATTTTGACTTATAGTAGGAAAAGCACAGGTCTTACTAATAACATTAACAACCTGGTCTGTTTATGTGTCCCCTGTAAGCTATGACTATGACAGTGAGACAACATGTACAATACCAGGACCCTGGAACTGAAGCAGTAACATGGAAATCTACTACATTAATGTTATCATTTACACCTGCTTTTCCTGTTGTGGCTTGTCAGAATGACATCTGTGCTTGTTTTTTGGAAGTTATTTTTGTACAAATTGTCAATTGAAAATTTCTTACAAATGACAATGATCTTTCAGTCCACTTGGGGGCTACACTAGTATAATCTTGGACTAATGATCATATTTGGGTCTGGTACCACTATTACGATTAATACCCTTTTTGCATACAATTCATTACAATAACAGTTACAAGGAACAATATTTATAACATTCACATAATTATAGCCCTGATATACCTGCCTGTTCTGTCAGTCATTTACACCCTTCAGTGTGGAGCTTTTTAAAACGTTTGCCATGCTTGGATTTTACCTGAAAATGTACTTCTTTTCACTGATTAGATATTCATGTATTTAAAATAAATCGAACCTGGCATGTCTCCAATATTTGTTCAAGCCATCTGCTCCAAACACCACTCAGCAGGGTTGAGACAGCTGCTGAATGAAAAAGAAAGTGACAGCGTGAGTCCTTACAGAGTTTATATTTTTTCCCACTCAGACGTTATGGAATAAAAAGTATAAAGAACTGATGTTTACGGAGATATATTTTGTGCCAAAGCTTCAATTTTCCTCATGTGAAACTAATCTTCTTTTCATTGTTTGTACTGTCATCAAACAAAAGCACACATCCACAGAAAGAAAAAAAAGGTTGTTTACCAAGACCAACAGTTTTTGTGAAAGTCACAATACCTTTAAAACCTCAACAGCAGTTCATGGAAAATCTGAGAATGAAACAATGGCATGAGTATGGGAACTATTTAAAAAAAACAAACAAAAAAAAAACTTGTCAGTCCTAAACCCCCTCCACCTTAAACTGCCCAATCAGATGACAAGGTACTTGCCAGGATGATATGAATGTCTCAAATGGTAGGTCCACACTGAGGACTGAAGACAATCAAATGCTTTTCTGTTGATTGCTGGTTGGAACGGGGCATATTTCTGGCATTATTCACCTGTCTGATTGTCTGATTGTTTGAGGGGTCTGGTTTCTCTAATTATGAAGGATGCCTGTCTTGTGTTGGAAAGGTTACACCATTTATCTCAGCTGATGCATCCACTTAGTCTAATAACTGTATTATGTAATTAAGTGAGCTCCTGATTAACAAAGCATACATAATAGACAACTGATTTTCTTTCACAAATCAAAATTTTCATAAAAACCTTGGGGCAAATATTCAGAGCCAAAAAGCAACAGCTACAAGACACTAATTCAAGTTCAAAATGCTTTCTCCGATAGCTACAAGACTTCATGTGACATTGACTTAAACGGCTAATTTGTTAAGCTCAAAGGTTAACATGTTGTAGTTAAACATTTTATGAAGGTGAAAATTCTTCTACTACTACTACTTTCTAAGTCATGACGTTTTTCTCTTTGACTGACAGACTGACTAGGAGAGTAAAACACTGATTTATAACCAACATCAGCCATCTGTTTTCATAATTGCTGCACAGCTTCAGAAATGCAGCTGGGATGTAGATGACAAACACAGAGTATAAAATCAGGCATAATGTTAGACAAGTTAAATGAGTTACCGAAGTCTGATCAGGTGCTACTTGGATGATGAACTGGTATGCAGGCATTACACAATGTTGCAACACCAGATTGGTTATATCTCCATCCTCTGTTACGGGTTCTGGTGGCATAGTGAATCCGTCTTCCATGCGCTCATCTGACATGTTGAGCAGCTGTCAGAAGAAACATGTAAGTTAAAATGTGTCAAAACATAACCTTCTACTGTCAAATACTGACCAGCTTCAAACTTGAAAAGGCCATGACAATTATGATAAATAAAAGCAGAAAAAAATACTGCTGTTCAATGCTAACACAGTTTTGCAGAATAAAAAACTCCATATCCATCCATATCTAATTTCATATTCAGTGGGACAGCTGTAACAAAATCGAAGTTGTATAGTTAAGTTTCACGCCTGTCTCCACACAAAAAATGTGGAAAATCAATTATCTGTCCAAGTGAAAATAATTTAATTTTAAGGCTGTAGAATGAATAACTTTACATCTCTTATCCAACAAATACAAATTAAAACACTCTTCCAAAAATGTCACTGCACGATTCTTCATTATATTTTTGGGGACAACTAGTAAATCATTTATGTTTAGTTACAGGTGACAGGTTCAAATACAATAGACCAGGTCCAGTATAACCAGAGCAGTAAAATGAGGAGCTCAATGTCCCAGTCAGGTGTTGAAAACAAAGTTTTGACCGCTTTAAGGTTGCAGGAGTTTTTTTTGTTAGAGCAGATATCAGCGCTATCAAAGGTTTTTAGGGAGATTTAGGCCAGTTTTAAATAGTCCATCTTTACTTTTCAACCATTCTTTTGTGCTGCTGGATGTGAGCTTTGACTTTGCCTCAAACGGTATTTTCTGACACTGGGTCATATTTTGCTCTAAAATGCCTGTTGAGTTTCTTCTTAGTGCCACGTCCTGGAAGCACCTTGAGAGATTTATGACTGACACTTGTTGATAACATTAGGAACTGTTGAAACAGTGATTTTAAGATCTTTGGCGATTGCCTTGTAGCCTTTGGAATTGTTATGTTTTTTCATCTCTCCTTTGCAATTGTGAAAAAGAAACTGGAAGCCATCAGCCCTTTTTTTATGCAGTAAAACCATCATTCATTGCTAAAGTCAGGTCATGTGAACACTAAAAATTAAACTCTGGTGAGTCTCTTGTTTTTTACTCATCAAAAAGGGTGCCAATAATTAGGTCTGGGGTACATTTTATGCTTGTATTATTTCACTACTATGTAAGTTTCTTTTCTTTTGTTCAGTAACAATGGACATTTTATTAAAATATTCTGGTTATACAAATTTGGTTTATTTGCATTTATTTTCTGAAGATATTCTGAATTATGTACTTGAAATTCAGGGGTACCAATATTTTGGACCAGGACTGTACAACTGATTATTACCAGAGCCATTTCATTCTCATAATATTTGTGGCCTTTAGTGTGTGTTTTTACACAGAGCTGCCGCTCAGCATTTAATATCCCTAGTACATTATTAGGTGCCTCTCCACAAAGCCACTAAATCCACTGGGATCCTGAGAATAGTATCATATGTGGATTATGTGCTGCCTATGCAATAATTACATTTCCTCCTACATTGTTTGCATTACATGTGTATTAGCTCCAACTAAAGTATGGCTGCCTTACTGGCACAACTCTAGTCTACACGAACTTAACTGAGTCAATTACTACATAACTGCACAATAGAAAAGACAAACAACACTTACATCATCCACCCTCCATAGGTCACTGCCAAAGCCTTGAGTCTGACCATAAGTGATTGCATTCTTTAAGAAATCAGTCCTGCTGCCATCATGCTGAGAAACAGAAAATAACACCAATCAACATTTAAAAATAAGTGACAGTGCTGTCCTTGGAAAAACAACAAAGGGCACTTGTCATGATGAGTAAAGTACTTACACTGTCACTGTCCTGCAAAACTGCAACAAGCAATCGAATGTATTCCGTTGCAGCTTTGAGCGTGTCCACTTTACTGGGCTTCCGGTCCGGTCTCATAAGTGGCACCATACGCTTCAAGCGGGAGAACATAGTGTTCAAATTCCTGATCTGCACAGAAAAGAGGCTTAAGTTTCAGATCCACTGTGTGGAAAATTGGGTTGATGAGAATATATTTCAAATTTTATATAACCATAACTTAACTTAAACAAAAATCTTGAAGCAAAACCCAGCACATCATGCAAAGGGAAAAGGGTCCTTTTTTGCTCTTATGTGATAATACAGTAGAGTAGGTTAGAGTTGCATTTCATATATATATATACATATATATATATATATATTTCATATATATATATATATACATATATATATATAATATGTACACATATAAATATACTGTATATATACACATATAAATATACTGTATATAAAGAGAGAGAGAGAGAGAAAGAGAGAGAGAGAGAGAGAGAGATGAGAGAGAGGAGAGAGAGAGAGAGAGAGGAGAAGATTAAGTGCAGGCTTACAAGCAAATATAGAACATTTAAAAACAAGATCAGGTCTGTGTTTTTACCTCACATATATGGCCACAGGTATATTTAATCATGTGGCGACAATGTTGATTGAAAACATTAAAATAAAACTGACGGTTGTTGGTGGTCTATTAAGCCTCAAAGAAACTAGCTAGACAGTTTGGAGTTTGGAAAGAAAATAAATCAAGGCCGAAATGTATTCCTGGTGTTGGTATGAAAGTTGGTGTGCTCGGTGGTGTGAGTAAAAGATAATAACTCACAGACTCCTGAAAGGTTTTTGTAAACTTTAAAGCGTTAAAGCGTTTACAGGCAGCTACTTTTCAGTTTGATAGAATAGCGAAGCTAGCAAGATGCTAGCTAACGTTACATTCAACATAACTAAACTATCAAACGTTTGTTCTTGCCATCTTCAACGTAATTTCCAATGAACACTCACTCTCAGTCGTTCCTTAGCGTTGACCATTTCTCTTTTTTTCACAGTTTCGGTGAAGTCTTCGGCGACGAAATATAAACCCTCCTTCGCTCGTTTAAACTTCTCAATGTTGCGGTACACAGGCAGCACAGACTCGCCTGTTAAACGCTTCAAAATATCGCCCATTAATTCCTCCGCAGGCACCTTCATTTTTACGAGTAACATCTATTAACCCTGACAACCTGTCACAATTTTTCCCCTGTACTATGCCATGTTCTCCTGGAAAATGGCAACGATAGGAGGGTCCCGGGAGGGGGAAAGATCACACCTGTGCGACGTGTGCAATCAGGACCCTGTCTGCAGAAGGCTGAGTCTGTCCGTCAAAAGGTGAGCTGAGCTGAATTCTTATTATCTTCTTAAGTTATCTGTTCATATTTCAGATGCTGCTGCACTTCTGTCATTCAAACATCTTATAATATAAGCAATATATTCCCTGTGTTGCTTGGGTCACATGTCCAAAAATAGATGCCGCAAGCAGATCCAATGTGCAAAAAGTAGCATTTTAGAGAGGCCAGGCCTTAATTAACTTATCAACACAGTTTTGATTCTTCTCACCAAATAAATAACTAAGACAGGAGATAGGGAGAGAAAAGAAAAAAAGCTTTATATAATTTATAAAAAAAGTTAAGTAATTAATATTTACGTGCATTACCCATGGCAGTGCCTTAAATTTCAACACAATTATTCCTCAGAGATTTTATGAAATAACAAAATTGGCTATACCTCAAAGATTTGATTCCTTTAATTAGAAAAAATGTAAAAACCTGAGTATAAGTTCTTTTGTTCAGTTCAAGGCCCAACAGTTGTGATCTGAGGTCTTTATCTCAAGTCTTTATCAAATGGATAATTTTTGATTGGTGTTTGTTTATTGTGAATAAGGATGTCTTCATCCACCAAATGAAAAACGTCTTCAAAAAAGTAGGTTGGAGGGTGAATGTAGAGAGTTTACCACTTACCTGAGAGTCAGCCAGGCTAAATCTGTCCAGTGGGGCTTTACACTCTATGTGAGGAGTTTCTTCAACTGTATTGGCATGGTTGAGCTGACTGATAGGCTACTAGACCTGATATTGACTGTCTTCTCTTTGAAGTAGTTCAGCCAAATTCATCACATTGAGAAGCACACTGCTACAAGTAGGCTAATTTAACATTACCAGACACACAAATGTGATACCAGTACCTGCCTGCTAACTAACCATTTAGTTAGCTATTATAAACATTAGCAAACAGGACAACAACAATAGTGACCTATTGGCTCTATAACAAAGCTAATGTTACCCACCTGTCAAGTTGGACTTATTTGGACTGGCCATCCAACTATTTGGACAAATCCTCGTTGGCTGCCGCAGCAGTAGGCTGCCGTCTAGTGGGGTGCCACATCGGTCAGCCAGTGGACCATCAAATTAGCCATAATGTTTTATAAAGCCATAAAAGTTTTTTACCAGCCCTGTCAGTCTCTTTACCGGCCCTCTGTGTGCCTGTCATCCAGGGTGCCGCCTATATAGCCTTGTTGTGTTTATACTCGCAGTCTTTCAGACTATTACTGACTTTCTAAGAGAAAGGCTTTTGTAGAAGAGGTATGCGCCCTATCGATGTTGGAAGATTAGTGTTAGTGTAGTGTAGTTTAAAGGATTTCAAGACCCAAATGCAGAAAGGCTGGGTGGTAGCCTATAGTTCAAAGATTTAAAAGGTAAATAGATTGTACTTACATAAGGCTTGTCAAGTCTTATCCTTATTTAGTGCTTTACACTACAAGCTGCATTCAGCCATTTGTACAGTTTTTTTCTACACATATAATGCTTTTCTACCACACGCACACATACCAATTACAACGGTTCAACAGCACCACAGCCCTTCAACAAACTGAACAAACAAACCGACAGACTGAGGGGAGGACAGAGCTATACACAAGGGGAGCAGGTAATCACAAAGGCAGGAAACACACTTGGGCAGGAAGCAAAACAAACAAATTATGTAAATGAATCTGGTACATTAATGGCAATTAAAGGAACAATTGATTCAACAAAAGATCATTCAGACCCTCCTGTGCCACTCCAAATTTCTAATGAGGCCAATTCAGACAAGGAATCAGTAGGTGGTCTTGTGTTGAAAATGTCAAAGATCTACTCTTTCTGATGGGAAAGGCTCACACAGTTTACATGGCTGAGACAATCCAAAGAAAGTAACGCCATATGCTGTGTTGTAATGTACTGCTCTGGGTGGGGTGGTGCACTAATTAACTTGCTTCTCATGGCAAATATTGATATATTGGATTCATTTGGATTAAATAATGACAAAGCATGGAATTAATTACCTTACTTTTTCTAATCGCTTGACAGCCCTAATAATCATATTATTTTTACTAAGGCTAGACCAGAGTCCTCCAGTCCCCTTGAGAGCATCAACAATATAAAATAAACTGAGCTACTGTCACTGGACTGTTTCACATAAACTAGATGTGCAACCTTGAGCATCCTGAGCAGCTGCACAAAGGCCCACCCTGTTTTTTTTTCTTCCACAACCAGGTGACAAAAGCAGAAGGACATGACATCAGTAGCAACATCATCAGCTCATCACATCAGCTAATCAACAGCTCACCATGGAAGCACATTGCTCTTGCAAGAGCAGCAGAGCAGCCCCAATCACAGTCCAGGGTGTCCTCACTCATCACTACAGTGACTCACTGGTCGCTGTTACTGTACCTGGGACCACTGTGGCCCTACTGTCAGAGACCTCAAAGCAAATGTGCTTCTTTGAGCTGCCTGAGTAGATCAGACTGAAAAGGTAAATAGAAAGAAGCCCAAACATCACAAGCTGGTAGAGCAATGGTGGGAATAGAGAGCTCTTTTCATAGAAGTGGGATCTCAGAGCTTTGCAGGCCACTCTCTGCAGACCATTCATACTTTAACCATCACAGGGTGGCAGAGAGGAGACCTATCAAGACCATAGCAGAGGCCCTGTTCAGACGTGACATTAATATGCATCCTCGGTCATCCAATCACAAGTGGACATCTCTTAGTGCGTCAGCTCACACCTGACATTAAAATGAAGTCTCGAGAAACTTGTGATCTCATCTCACCTCTTTGTTCTTTATGCAATTAAACACCTACATCATTTCTGTTTACAAAGCCCAAATGAATTATTTTTAGCCAGTGCATCTATGACAAACAGGTCCATTGTCAATGTGTTTGTGTGTGTGTGAGAGAGAGAGAGAGCAGGGCAGAGAGGGGCTGAGTGAATAATTGTGCACATTTCTATGTGTCTATATGAAATAAAATTTTACACATTTGAAATAGTAAAAAAAAAAAAAATCAGTATGTGTTGATGTCAATGGTGGTATTGTGGCGGGCTACCACAAATAAAATTCAGTGTATGGGAAACACTGTGAGCTGTTGCTGGGACATGAGTCTGGGGGTCTCATCCACCCTGGCTGGGTTACCTGAGTGAGAGTGTCTATTGTTGAAAGACGTGAAACATCCAATGATCCTAGGTTAGTAGGTTACACCACTTATGATGTAAGTTCATCATAGGGTGTAACTCAGACTCAAAGAATCATTTCCTATGCCCATCCTGTTTCCAGACGCCTTTTCCTCTTGCACAAACTGAATTTCACATAGTTTTCGGCATTAATCTATTTGTTAATCAAACCATTTGTTCTAAGTTGTTCTACATCTCAAGTCTGAACTCCCTTATCAGATGGGATTTCTGGTTTTGGTTAATCTTGAATTGATGTACATTTTAATATCAAAGAGATTAAATTCTCACTACAATAAAGCCCCTTTTGTTAGCTAAGTGACATTCAATATTATATTGCTCCTTACTGCTTGCAAAACCAAATGTAACATTTTGTGTTGTACCACATTATCATCCAGAGGGATATGATAGCATTTTATTAAATAATGTATTAAATATTTTGAATTTAATTTTCTAGTCATCTTGAATGGTTGTTTGCTCCTATGTATACCAAGTTACTTCAGACTGCACCTGTGCATTAATTGTTAAACTAACCTTGTGCATGAATGGAAAACAAAACTATGAGGCTGTCATGGGGTGACAAGGGCCGTGAAATGGTCTCCATAATGCTGCTATTATGTTTTTTACGGTGTGATGTTTGAGCTTGCAGTGTCAAACTTTGTGCATGGACTCTTTGCATAGACTTTAACCATTTATATGCATTATGGAAACTTATACACGGTATTGTTCCCTTTGCATTTCCCTCTGTCCAAACTGTTTCCAACCATTGGCCCACAATCAGGCCCAATTCCAATCCGGTCCCTACACACTCCAACTCAGAGACCGAGTGCAACTCCATGTGGAGTCACACTCACAGCTGTGGAGGGTCTCTTCATTAAAGTGGAGAGTATAAATACAATGGCAAGCCTTGGGACGCCCTCATTCCAAAATACAATATAACTTCTAATTTCGTCATGTGTGCATGAAAAGAGTCAAATGTCTGTTTGATGTGATTTATGATTTGTCCTTTGGAAATAAACACACAGAAGTCATTTGTAGGTATATAGCATTTCATCCATTCCAGACTCAAAGCAATGCTGCACTTGTCTGGGAGTGTGGTTTGGCCAAATCCTAATGCCCCCCCCTAAACCCTAAACCCTAAGCCCTGAACCCGCACAGACTTAATTGACTTCACCTGGTGAGTGATTGAGTGCGAGAGGCTGCCAGGGCTCAAATTGGTTTAAAGAGGAAATGGAGAGCACTTATATCACATTACCTTGATGAAACCAAAACATTTACATTCAATTGTGGGCTTGGGACTTTTGATTGTATATTTGTATTCCCGTCTTTTGCTTCCTGTTTGTAAACAAAAAAATAATGTTGGATCAGATCTGATCCATCTTATTATTTCTTGCATTTTATGCCGTTTGCCGTCCCCTGATAACCATGGTAATCTGTGAGTCAAATTTATATGGTGATTGTTCTGTGGAAGATTCCCTCCCACTATTTCACCAGGGCCACAGGTAGCTCTTCTCATCAGATGCATCACTGGAAAAGCCTGTGCACAATGACTGCTATTTGAAGACACGTGTGGCATTGTTTTTGTCAGACTGACAGTCAAAGGTTATTGCTGTTGTTGGTAAATGTGTTTAAAGACAGAAACTACACTATACAACTGATCACAAAAAAGGAGTGTTCACATAATAGGCTTTTATGTTAGCATTTGCACAAGAGACGAATGTGAAAGTAACTGAATGATGTGCAGTTCGATCCATGCATTTCAATCACGAACTCTCTGGTTACCTATCAGCTATTTATTTCTTTTAGACCACTGCCACCCCCTGTGACCACACATAACTTTGAAGCTTGGGTTAAAAATAGTTATTCATATGATACCGATGATCATGGGGGTTGCTTTCAAGTGTGCTCAGATACACAAATGCTGTGTTAACAAACAGTTTCTGCTTGACTTGTTCCTTTTTAGTAAGAAATGATAAGGCTTTGGTCACATGCTGCCTCAGGTGCCTTTAGCAAGATTGTGGAATATAATTTACCTATATGAAGGAGAATGTGTGGCCTGCGGTTGTGAGATTGACATATATGACACTGAAAGCACTGTGTTTACAGAGAAATGTGTGTATGTGTTCTTAGTCATAATTCATTGTCAGGTTTGATTTTAGTTTATGCTTCTTTTTCAGGTGTTTATATACTCTTGGATAATTTATTTTATTTAATGTATCCACAGTGTTGGGGATAAGTGAACTACATGTAATTAAACTAGTTTAACCACATTTTGCAGTAACTTGCTGGTAGGTCAGCAAGCTTCTTTTTTCCCCATTTTTTTGTGTAGTTAACCACTACACAAAATTTTAGGCCATAAAAGTAAAGGAATTATTTTTCATTTTTATTTTACCATTGCTTCTCTACTGTACAGTCAGAGTTTTTTTCTTTCATCCTGACCACTGTAAAGGCTTGTCCCTGCAATGCAATGATCAGGCAGTCACCACCACACATACTTCACCTTTGTGTCGTGCATGTGCAAAAGTCGAGAGAGGCATTACTCAGTGCTCACATACTGACAACACACATCCTCATGGATAAACCTCCTGAAGAATCATCATGACCATACATAAGCAGTTATTATTTGCAAAACCAAAGCTGGCATCCCAGCACTTTCCCGTAAATAGTGGGGTCTTTATATTTTTGGTTTCTTTATGACCTGTGAACAAGTCAGCACTTTCTACAATAAACTCAACTGAGGGGCTTTTTTTTGCTGGCATGTGACTTTTTTGTATTATATTTTGTTATAATTTCACATCATGCAGCCTACATGTTTTGATACAAAGTAGTTTGAACTACTTTTCTGAGTAAGTTTAGTTAATCAGACTAGTTTTCTCCCTACAGTAACTTTGCTGTTCAACTTCTTCCGGTGCAAAGTAATTGGTAGCTTGCAAAGTAGCTTCCCCAGCACTCTTAAAACAACAGTGAAAGGCATCATATTTTGTGTGACTAAATCAAATAAAAGTAGTGGAATGAAAAGCACGATAGTGAATTGAATATGAGTGGAAATCAGCATAAAATTGCAGCACTCAAATACAGTATCAGTGCTTCAATGCTCTACTTAAGTACAGCACTGGAATATATATAAGTTAAATTAATACTTTCATGACTGACATGAAAGGGTGCACAGAAGAGGAGTTTGTTGCATGGCTTTTGATGTAAGTGTATATGATCCAGTCTCCTGCACATTCACTGGAAAAAGAACACCACGCCGCGCGTTCTCTGTAACCAATCAGCGCCATGTACTCGGGATGACGTCACCGAACTACTAACTTAAGGAAGCTGGAAGTTTCTAAACAGTACGTAGCTGTTTTTAACGACAGTAGTTTCTTAGGAGTTTAGACAAGACGCCGAGCGGCGGGTGAAAATACTATTGTTTTTGTATTTATTATTTTAAGAAACCTTTGTACATTTTTGCGAGTCTAAAGCAGGAAGACGGGCAGGGCGTAAAGTCGTCACACATCAGTAACTAACGATGTTAGCCTCAAGTCTTCTGGCTAATTACTGCACCGAACTCCATGATGACCAAGCGAATAAAGTGAGTACTGGTGTAAAACACTCGTTTGGGTTTGTTTCAGGGACATTTTGTGTATCAATACGGAACATTTGAAAGTGTTGACGGTAACAAAGTGAAAAAGGAGGTCAAGGTGACAGCCCGGCCACTAGCATACATGTATGAAGGAAGACAGTGATGTTTCCACGTCAACTGTCGCTCAGTCCAAATATCCGGCTTTAGGATGTCTAAGTGCAAGGCCTTAATACCATAAGGAATGGGACAGCACCCTGTGAAGTTACAAAACAGTCGGGTTCATTCCATGCAGTATGTACACTCTTCACTGCATATGTCGTTCAATAAAGTCAGTGTATCTGTATGTGTGTCCAGTACACGTAGGGGCGGCTGTGGAGGTAAAGCGGTCTGGAGGTAAAGCGTGTCGTCCCCTAATACTGACCCCCAAGTCAAGTCTTTGTGTGACTGTGAATGTAAAGAAAAGGGGCTGTATGAATGTGTTGGTGAATGTTTGAATATGGCTTGTAGTGAAAAGCACTTCGAGAAACCATAAAAGCAGCGTATAAGTGCCACATCCCATTTATGTGTATAGATTCCTAGCTTTCTATCTATGATAACAATAAGGCCTTTTCACTAATCAAATGCCTTTATTCGATTCAGTTGCTTCAGTTTCAAGGTCCTGGTATTGAGCATGACCTCACACAACCAACATCTTATAACAGTCGAAATTGTTAAATATTCTTTTAAGACCATGCTGTGTTGCTTGGATATGAGAGAAGCAGTGTCATCAGACCATACATTGTCTTCCTTAAGATAGCAGCAGCACACCTTGATAGGAGTTGATGCCTGTTAGTGAGCTCCTGTTTCTTTTTGCACCTCAACTCATGAGCAATGTTTAGGTTATGTGTTGCTTCTGTTTTGTTCATGTATGACACGAGTTTGCTGTGTACGTAAACCTCATGCTAGCTCATTCAGTGTTTTTGGATGCTTTGATTAAATTAAGTCTGCTTAAATAAATCAGTTATTGTCATTTATTTTCATTCTGCTGCTCCTCTTGGGCCGTGTGCATGCAGGCAGGTATTTGAGTGAGTTACTATGGTTATGCTCTGTGTCTCCGTCGCTCTGGTCATGATTCAGTGACAGGTTTTTAGGTTAGTATACTTTTACAAAAATCATGAATGTTATTGTACCTCATTACTGAAATCTAGTGATATAATTTTACAGTTTTGTTTAACATAATTAAAGAAGAGGAAGCCTTAGAGCCTCCTTCATGAAGAAATAGGCTATATTTATAAAAAAAAAGAAAAAAAAAGAAAAAAAAAAGGCGGCCAAATCATAGCTGCAACCAGTAAAAAGTTATTCTGGAGACCTGCATTGCAGATGGCATACGTTAGTTATCAGTCTCACACACTTTGTAAAAGTTCCACACGGCTGTCATATGGTTTTGTTTTGCTGACCGGTGTGCCTACAAAATAAGGAAAGTAGACTAAACTAAGAAAATTCCTTCACAACCTGATACTAAGAATCATTGTGTTTTTGGCTGGACTGCAACAATGGGGCCAGGCCTATAATCGGGAATGTGACTGACTGACTGATCATATTTCCACCACTGGTCAGATGAGTGCCTTGTCACTGACAGAGAGTTTCTGGGCAAACAGTTTCTATTAGGGGTGTTTACAGCCTGCAGTGATCCTGCGTTGTCTCTAGACTTAGAGACTTTTTTTTTTTCAAACAGACTGACTATAAATCTGGTACATGACTGGATGGTGTATGGATGCCAACCAGGGGTTTAGGGCTACACCTTTTGTTACAGGCAGTCTAGTGAGCTGCTCTGGTTTCCCACCTGTGCGGGAACTGCAGGGAACTGCAGGAGTGCTCCCAATACACTGAGCCTCGCCTCCATTATGGCAAATAAACTACTTTCATTACATGTACCATTATTACTAAAGTAGGCAGAGGAATAAGTAAACATAAGATGCACTGAGCAGATCTGAATAGCATGCAAACAACAGAAACAGCAGCAACTTTCTCTCTGAGCTATCACTTTGTAAGTAAATATAGCCAAAATCACAGCATAGTCTTTGTCTTTGATTTTTGTGTTTGGTGATTTTGTCAGACAGTGTTGCAATTATAAAATCAGGATTTGGCAATAGGCAGTTGAGCCAATAGGTTTTGACCTAGTCTTGTTGTTAGCTTAGAATGATTCCATTATATCTACGTATTGTCCTCCATGATGCACTACCATGTTTCTACAGTAGCCCAGAATGAATAAACCAAATACTAGCCTTTAGCGTTTTCATGTTACCTGAATGCCAATCAGACAGTCTGATGTCAACAGGGAGGTTGCTTCAGAGGAAGGTGGCAAGATAGGAAAAGGCCTTGCAGCCTGCTGATGTCTGTTTAACTCTGACTCCCAGATGGGTATGAAGAGGGCATACCCATTTATTATTTTGTATGAAGCATCTTTAAGTCTGATCTGACATGGACAAATAGCTGATGAAGGGAAGGTAAAATTGGTATAATGTGGTAAAATTTTTAAATGTTAGAATAATTCAGTCTGGATGAAACACAGACGTTGTCTCAGCATCTACTATGGACAGAAAGACAGACTGTCACTTTTTTCCATGGTATTTTCTGTTGTTTACCTTGATGATGTGTTGGAGGTTTGCCCAAATTGCAATAAGAGCCTGTTGTCTGTAGCCTCTCATCTAACTAGTTCACCATGGCTGTATCTTTTACCTTTCCTCCCTGGTGAATTTCAGACTGATCCACTGGCGAAAAGTGCCCCATTTTGTGTTGCACTTTTTTAAAGTATTTTATAATAACAGCCTTTCATCAGTTTGCAAATGACACTAGGAAGCAAAAAGAAAGAGAGATTACATTAACAGTGGAGTCCAGCTGTGACAGCACTGAAAATTAGACTGAGTCAGAAAAAAGTGAGGTGCTTTTTGAAATTAAGAACAGGAATAAAAGAGGGGAACACATCTTTTTGCCCATATGTTAAGGGAACACTGATTTCTTTTTGAGTGAATGAACAATGGAGCAGCACTAAATACAGCTGCCAGCAGTTTAAATTAACAGTGTCCATAATGCAGCGCCTGTCAGCCAGCAGTACAGGTAGAACTTCTGTTGTTTTTGAATTCTAGATTTTGTTTATGCTCTGCACTCTACACTTATACTGCACTCACTAAAATATAGGAACTTCTTTAAAGAAAGTTGTGATGTAGGTTAGATGTTCTCAATGCAGGGTTGTCCAATTTGTTACAGTTTTATTTAATTTTTTACTCACTGCTGTAGTCGCTGTAGTATCTTAAATGTAATGGTTTTCCTCTCAAATGGTTTAGGTGGACAAATACCTACACCGTCTTCAGCTGTCAGATGAGACTTTAATGGATCTGTCAATAAGATTTCGACGAGAAATGGACAAAGGCTTGTGCAGAGACACCAACCCCACAGCTGCTGTCAAGATGTTGCCCACATTTGTGCGCTCCACTCCTGATGGAACAGGTAATACCCCTTTCAAGTAGGAAATCTGCATATAAAGTGGGTACAGTGAACACACAGTCAACCCACATTAGACCCATTTATATGAGATTGCACTTTCATTCACAGAGATTCAAGTTTATATCTGTAGTTCCATACACATTACAGCAAAACCACAACATTATAATACATGTGTACAGTGCCAAGTTGAGTCAGCATATTACCTCCAGTGGTGTCTATCTATGTAGATAGTCTGATGATCGGATTTAGAGATGAAGATGAAAAAAGTCAGTTAAGGTTTTGCCTGTGCAACATGCTTGAAAAAGTTTCAGCCTCGCACAGAGCAGTGTAGCAGTAGTTCTGTGTTACAAAATAATGGTTTGTGCTGATTCAATCTACTAATGACAACTTTTGTCAAACCAACTGCTTCAGTCCTTTTTTAGGCTAGACTGCAACATCAGGTCCAGACCTATAAATGCAAATGTCCATGACTGACTGACTGACAAATGAAGTTACACATCTGAATGCTGTCTGACTGAGTGATAAAGTTACACCACTGGTCGGCCAGAGTGGATGGACTGTTAGAGTTTCATCATTGGTTGTTGCTCCTTCAAAATGATTTGTAGCGATCAAGCAGTGTTGTGAACTTAGTGCTTTTGTCACCAGATTTTCACGCTCCTTTTTAGTGATTTTTTTTTTTTTTTTTTTTTTTTAAAAAACGGCACTTAGCAACAAATCTACTGACTTTTTAGACAAACCATAGCTACTTTCCATAGGAGAGAGTCAGCAGTACTGCCCCACAAGTGAGAGGTCAGGCTTTCCCTCCGCAGGCACACCTCTCTATGCTGACTGCATAGCAGCCTCTAACTTTCTCTCTGTTCACTGTACAAGTAAATATAGCCGTAATCACAGCACAGTCTTTGTCTGTCTAATTTAATTTAAAATGAACACACTGTATTTGTACAATATGTATATATGTATGTATGTATGTATATATGTGCATATTTACATGTTTTACATGATTTTTTTGTGTATAAGTACATATTTGCATTTTTTTTTTTTTTTAATGTAAAGCTATTTGAACTGCTTTTGTATGAGATGGTGTGCAAATAAATTACTATTTTTGACATCTCGTAACCACTGGGCCAAACTTCATAATCATCTTCAGACTTACCTGATCTTAAGTTTTAATACATCAATCTGTTTTGAAATTCTACATTTTTACCATCCAACCCTTATTGTTCATTTTGACATAAATATGTTTGAGTTTTGATACCAAGTCTTGGGATATTCTGCACTCGGGGGCGCTTAGAAAGTGAAAAGTTTATACCTTGTAATTGGTTGCATGGATTCATACAAAATTCGGTTCACACTATCTTGTGGTTTCTAACCTCAGTTTTGCACATGTGATGTCATTTCCTCAACTTGTAGGAGGGTGTGTGCAGCTCATTTTTCCCCAGTGGTGCAGTCAGTAAGTTACCTTCTCTGGGGATACAAATGTCTGGTTTGAAACCCCAGATGACCAAAATTTTAGTTTCACCAATGTTGCAACTCATGCATATGGTATCCAAATGCTTGTGAGCTACTTGGACCCTGATAATTTTTCAGGCAAAAGAATTTAATTCGTTGAGAAAAAAATTCATAGATTTATTAATTATGAAAATAATTGTTAGTTGCAGCCCTCCTTCTGATGCAATACACAAATTCCACTGACTGACAGCAAGAGGTGGCAAAACAAAGCAATGTGCCCGCAAAAGGGGGAGAAGCAGTGTGCTAGCTAATGTAAACATGGATGTAAATTATACTTTTCCCAATGTTTGAGGAAGGAAATCTCTTGAACCTCTGTGTGTCTGAGTGTGTGCAAAGCTGTATGTGATTGTGATTGTTTTTGTTTGTTGGTTTGTTTTTTGTTCAAAGAACAAGGTGAATTCCTGGCCCTTGATCTTGGTGGATCCAACTTCCGAGTGCTCCTGGTCAAAGTCATGGCTGATGGCGAGCAAAAGGTGGAGATGGAAAATCAAATTTATGCCATTCCTGAACACCTCATGAGAGGCAGCGGGTCTGAGGTAAGCGGCATGTCTGCCCTCTGTCTGATAATAAAGTATCTCTCTCTCTCTCTCTCTCTCTCTCTCTCTCTCTCTCTCTCTCTCTCTCTCTCTCTCTCACAATGCCAAACATGGACACAATGGAAACTTCTGTTCAACTCTTGGCTAATAAGAAAACTGACCTTTTCTCTCCTCTGTAGTTATTTGACCACATAGCAGATTGTTTGTCCAGTTTCCTGGAGAAGATGGGCATAAAGGACAAAAAACTTCCTTTGGGCTTCACCTTTTCTTTTCCTTGCCAGCAGACCAAGTTGGATGAGGTGAGATATGTAGAAGCTCTTTTCTTTAGTATAGAAATATTTTATTCATAAGTTACACTTGATTCTCATTATCTTGTAAACTACATATCAGTGAAAACACTGGTGAAATCAATACGTACTCCAACGTATTGTGAGTTTTAGTGCAGTTTTGTTTTATAAGTTTTTACATGTTGGTCAGTAAGTCCTGTCAACTTGTCAATTCACAATTTAGCCTAGAGGTTGCCAGCTCCACAGGCTTGTTAATGGGTGCTTGCAGGTCCATAATTCGGTATTGACATCAATATTTTAAATCAACGCATTATTTCCCATATATTAATTTATTTGTGGTGGTCAGCCACTATATAAACATTATAATGATAATTAAATAAACTGATTTTGGCAATTGGTGCAATCCCTGTGCCTGCCCTCTGCTGCTCAGTAGCTTTAGATGTCTTTGTACCAATGTGCCTTTTAATACGTTCAGCTTTTGTCAGTTTATGTCAAAAGTTGATGATGTGATGTGCATGATGTGCATCATCACTTGAGATTGCATTCCATGGTCTCATTGTCAGTGTCTCATTTGTACAATCTCATCTGATTTACAATCAGATTGTAAATTGTTGAGGTCTGCATAACCAATCTGAACAGTCTGAAAATATAATCTGAATCCGGCTAGAATGAAACAGAATAAGCGTGATTCTGTCCTATGTCCTTATTTTCCTGTTTGCAGAGTGTTCTGGTGTCTTGGACCAAAGGCTTCAAGTCAAGTGGAGTAGAGGGAAAAGATGTGGTCAGCCTTCTCAGGAAATCCATCAAAAAACGAGGGGTAAATGTACAAATGATAGTCTCATGGTACAATTTTCATACATGAAAAATTTGAGGTTATCACAGGGCAGAGCTGGAAACAAACACACAGAAACACTACAGACAGAGCTAGCTTATAGCTAACGTACACATGGTGCAAGATGCAAAATTATATTTTTATTTCAAAGGTTTTGGTTTTGGTGTGCTGGTTTTAATGAAGACAGTTAAATTAAATCTCATTGCAGGACTTTGACATTGACATTGTGGCAGTGGTCAATGACACAGTGGGAACCATGATGACCTGTGGCTTTGATGATCAGCACTGTGAAATTGGCCTCATTGTAGGTGAGTTCAATCTAACTGTGACCGTAAATCAAATGATAAGAGTTGGTGATGGTCAGTAAGTGTTACAGTACGTTTTATTGTTAGGGTTAATATTAATGAGCAGCACTTCAGTTAAAAAATGCATGGTCTTTGGATTTTCCCTGTGTATCCACACACACAGGTGGTTTCACATATTTTGCCTTGTTAGACCTCCCCTCAAGACTGTGTGGATACAAACTGCTTGACTGATGTCTGTCTTATTTTCCAGTTGCCCTGTTAAGGCGGGACAAGTCCCCTGTTTATCATTTTCATTAGTACATTTTGACCTGGCATAGGTGTTAATAAAAAGAGTAACAACAGTGAGGCAGCAAGCACAATACCAGGATCTTTAAACTGACACAGCTAAATGGAATTTATATCTCATTTACCTGCTCAAAGCTTGTTATTTTGCATTCCTCCGGATACTTTTTTCAGTTGTTAATGTGTCTATTTAGATAACATGTAAAGATTCAACAAAGAGTTGTATACAACCTTTAAGTACAAATTAGTGAATAATAAAACCATGAAACATAACACATGATGGGTCAAAATAGATTTCAGTATGGCATGTAGCATAGACTAAATTAACATAAGGTCAGCCATACAGCCAAACAAATTATTACATTTAAACAAAGGAGTTGCATAGGCAGACTCATAAGTTGTCTGCTTAGTGTGTAGACACAAGTGGAGATTGTGGTTAATGAATGAAGAGTGATTGTTAGTTTTAAGTGCCTTCATTGGAGTAGGTGACAGCATGATTCATTGGATTCAGAAATGACTGAGGGACACTGCAGTACCGTGTTTTCTCATTCTGGGTCTTGTGTTTGGATGAGAACTGCTTTGTAATTTATATGCTCACATCCCATCCCTCTAGGAACGGGAACCAATGCCTGCTACATGGAGCAGATGAGGAACCTTGAGCTGCTGGATGGTGACGAGGGGCGAATGTGTGTTAATACGGAGTGGGGCGCTTTTGGAGACGATGGTGCCCTGGAGGATCTGCGCACTGACATTGACCAGGAATTAGATGCGGGCTCTCTGAACCCTGGCAAGCAGCTGTGAGTATCTTTGAGCTTGGTACAACATAAAACATCTCTCTGTAGTAGTGGCTTCAGTTAACTCAACTGCAGACAGGCTTGTGTTATATAGGCCGTTATTTATGATAAGTCGTATCAGTATATTTAACATTTTAAAAGAAGCCTCCCTGTTGTCTGATCTGCTCCAGTTTCAAATTGTATTATAGCTGCTGTTTCCTGTCAATAAAACCTTTTGTCATGATAAATTTAGCACAATGTCCACAGCATTATTTTCACATTTACGTTTACTCATTTGGCAGACGCTTTTATCCAAACTGACTTACAAATGAGAGTCATCACTAAAGCTTCAGAGCAGTAGGAGATGTTGGTATAAGTTCAAAGTCCTACATTTATTCAGTAAGTGAAGAAGATCCAGTAAAGAAGTGCACCAAAATTTCATAGTTAGTGATAGTTAGGGATGTTAGGGTGTTAGAGGTGTTAGAAGAGGAGGTGCTCTCAGAAGAGAGGAGTCTGAACAGACTGAAGATAGATAGGGAACCTCCTGCTCTGATAGATTTCGGTAGCGTGTTCCACCATCGGGGAACTACAGACGAGAGCAGTCTGAACTGAAATTGTCTTGTGTTCAGCGATGGTAATGCCAGACGACTTTCCTTGGAGGAACACAGTGGCTGAGTAGGAGCATAAGGCTGTATGATCCAGTTCAAGTAGATCACTTCAACCCAGAAGTTACTCTGAAGGCAGGATTAGTGCCTTGATTTGATTAGGTTGGCCATGGGTAGCCAGTGTAGGTCAATGAGTAGCGGAGTGACATGCGTCCTTCACACTGATCAAAGACCAGATGGGCTGCCGCTCTCTTGACCATCTGTAAAGGTTTCACTGTGCATGAAGGAGCCCTGCCAGATTGTCATTGCAGTAGTCGAACCGAGAGATAACCATGACCTGGAGCAAGAGCTGGGTGGCACACTGAGTCAGGTAAGGTCTGATTTTTCTGATGGATGGAGCAAAGCAGCACAGCCGAGAGATGTGTGCAACATGGTCAGAGAAGGAGAGCTAATCATCAAACATGACACCCAAGTTTTTCTAGACCTTATTTGGGGTGAGAGATGAAGAGGTACACAGTACTGATCCTTGGGGAACCCCTGTGGGGAGGGGATGGGATGAAGACATTTTTACTTGCCATGACACACTGAAGGAGCGCCCAGTCAGATAGGATTCAAACCAAGAAAGTACTTTGCCTGAGATGCTCATGTCCGAGAGTACGGACTGCATTATGCCGTGGGTCACTGTATCAAAGACTAGTTATAGATCCGGAAAGATAAGAACCCAGGACTGAGCTGCAGCTCTAGCTGCCCTTAGGACTTCTGTCACAGATAATAGAGCTGTTTCAGTGGATCAAGGAGCTCATTCCATTTGAGGAATATTTTCATTTCCTTTTAACAACACTCAAATACTCAAACATTATGTTCTTTCTCACCGTGTTAAACTGCTGGCAATGAAATGGCAATATTTGCACTGATATTTCACATTACAAAGCCTTCCAGTAACTCAAAGGATGTAATCCGTGTCATTACCATAATGTTAGCTAACACTTGACGACACCACCTTTCAAGAATGATCCACTTCAAATTGTCTATCTGTGGATACTGTGATTGATTTGTATATTTGTTTTTTTAGTTTGAATTCTCTGAGGATTAGAGGTTGAGGTTATAATGAATCTGGTTTAGTCAGGATATTTTGGGTAGTTGATAATAGTTTCTAGTCTCAGTGATACTGAGTTGCTTAAATTAGCTGAATTGATTTTTTATGGTGGTATTAACAGGTAATATTGACCTGTAATTTTGACCTTCAATGTTAAAGCAATTTTCACGTGGCAAAGATTTTCTGTGGCATTCTGTAGCACAGTTCAGTGTTTCCCCTAGAATTTTTTTTTCAGCAGCAGTGCTGTTGTGAGGTGTGTGTCATGAGGATGTGGTGCCAGACCGCATTCATGCGAGTCAGAATTCTCAGATTATTCATGTTTGTCCTTTGTGTTGTAATTTACAGCTTTTGACATTTATCTATAGAAATTAAAAAAGAAAGGAAATGCCTGTTTACCACATGCACTACCGGTCTTTTTTCTGTAACATACTTTAGCAACATGTAACCAGCATTTTTATTTACTCCATTCTGTATAGGCATTTGTACATTAAAATCCAAAAGAAAGGGTTAGGGTTCTCATTAAAAGGTGACTAGTTTGTATCCCAAATTAGTTTTACTAACCTCAGCTCCTCCATGGTCAACATACTTTTTCTACTTTTTTTCTTCCTCACCAGCCAGTTTAACAGACTCAAACTGAAAGTTGTGATATAATTTAACTATCAAGATGTATGTGTACAGGACAAATTTGACATTAGTCTAAGCTTGTACCTGACATTCACTTACTGGGCATATAAGTGAGGTAGTAATGTTATTGCAGCTAAGTCAAGTAGCTTGCCTTATAGTGTGGAGCCACTAGCTCTGCTGTAATTACTAACAGAGGATCTTAACACTGGGCACACATGTAGCATTGACCAGCAGCCAATTAATGTGACTTCCTATGAATGTAGGTAACGTTACATAGCAGCCAGAAAGCGCATTGTTAACATTAGCCTTTCTTGGGGAGATATTTGCTTGGGCCAACCCCTTTCACTTTTCCAGCAGCTGGGGAAACAACATACGACTTTTCTTGGTCTTGAAGCTGCAGCATTTATTAATTGACACACATCAGCCAATACTGTACACTTACTGCCATATTGACAACTTACTGTTAACCTTTTCCTTGGCTCCACTTGCATTCACTGCTTCACTGCTTCACTGTCACTTTTCTGTCACTCGCTTGTTACCACTGCCCTATGCCCTAAAGGCATAGGGTAAAGCTATGCTACTCTAACGTTACCTTTTACATAGACAAGTCAGGTCAATTTTTATTTGTATAGCACCAATTCACAACATACGTTATCTCAAGGCACTTTCCAAATAGAACAGGTCTAGACCTTCTCTTTATAAAATTATTTACAGAGACCCAACAATTCCCACCAAGAGCAGCGCCAGGCGACAGTGGCAAGGAAAAACGTCCTTTTAAGAGGCAGAAATCTCAAGCAAAACCAGACTCAGGGTGGACGGCCATCTGCCTCGACTGGTTGGGTTGGAAGAGATAGAGAATTGGAGAGAGAGAGAGTGCAGAGGAAAAGAACAAGAACATGCAATGATAGCAATGATACCCCTCCAGCCACACATTGAGATCATCTACTGCTGGTTTATTGAAGGTTCCCAGAATAGACGTAGGAAAATTGGGGATGCAGCCTTTGTCAGTTACGACCCAAAGCTAGAGCTACAGCGCACTAAGTATTTCTAAAAGAAAGCTTTAAACTTATCTTTTATTATTATTATTTTATTTTTTCGATATCATTATTATTTTATTATAATTTTTCATTTTACCTGAATTTGTCTTTAGGTCAAAAAACACAAGAAACAGATAAGCAGCTGTAAAAAAGAAAATGGACAAGGTCACATTGTCATTGTCACAGGTGGTACCCAATGTAAAAGTATTTTCAGACAGTCTGTGCTAAGTGAAAGAAGTGAAAGAGCTTATCTCCACTATACAGATGTGTATCAGGAGGTATCCTTGGTTACTTGTCCCTGAGAGTTCACCATCCACCAGGCTTTCTGTCACCTGCATTTGTGTTTGTATGTGGACGTATAGTTCGTGGTTTGGCAGGTCAGCTTAGGTATGAATTAAACTAACCTAGTAAATGTGAATGTGACATTGTTTTGTTTCTCTTTTTTGTGTTGGCTTGCAGGTTTGAGAAGATGATCAGTGGCTTGTACATGGGGGAACTGGTCCGTCTCATCCTGGTGAGGATGACCAAAGAGCAGCTGCTGTTCCAGGGCAAGACAACAGCACAGCTCCTCACCACTGGAAGCTTCAGCACCAGCTACATCTATGCCATTGAAAATGACAAGTTAGTTTTTATGTGTGTTTGATTGAGAAATTCAGAGGAAACTATTTTATAGTGATGTCGTAAGCAGTAGATAAATTGATTGTCCATTTAACCATAAACTGTATATAGAACTGAAAAACAGTGAAATGTCCTCAAGGTCACAGAAAAGTCCAATGTTGTTGTTTTCTCCTGCAGAGGTGAGGAAGGTCTGACAAGTGCTGAGAAGGTGCTTCGGGACCTGGGTCTGGAACCATCGGTTGAGGACTGCATATCCACTCAGAGGGTGTGTCAGATAGTATCAACACGGGCCGCTCATTTGTGTGCTGCCACTCTAGTGGCAGTGTTGCGGCAGATCCGGGATAACAAAGCAGCTGAGAGGCTGCGTACTACTATTGGAGTGGATGGCTCTGTTTACAAGAATCATCCAGAGTAAGTGGTCCTGACCGCCACCACGCCTGGTGTGTCTCACATACACATACATACTTGAGTTATTTTGTTAGCTCTGTCCCAGGATGCATTTGGGTTCTGTTACTTGTTACAGAAACAGACACACTTTACTTATGCCTGATTTGTTACAAAAATAAGTTGGTATGGATGTTAATGTTTTTTAATTAAGCATTTTGTCATCTTGATGGAGTAAGCCTGAACAAGCACACAGCACGCTCTCATGTGCTCTCATGTTCACCCTGAATGACAGGCACACAGACAGGGCCGAAGAGTGAAAACTTTTTGGAGTCTTTTGACATTCCACCGCAGTTGAATGATGTGGCAGGATTTCTCCCGTTGCTCCCAACATCTACGACATCTTTGTCAACCTGCTGTTTTCCTAAAACTTTCCAACCATTAAATCTATGATTCTAACTGAGCTGCCCCAAAGTCTGCTGTTGGGACGTCACTTTAGGCCTGGTGGGCAACTGGGCTTTGAATACACTGGTGGAAACCCTGCTGTCACGATGGCTGCTGGAGAAATTCAAAAATGATGACAGTCTTAATCCCAAAATGGAAAAAAATTGTCATTGTTTTGCAAAGACAATTTTAAAATTGAATAGTTTTTATAAAGTTTTTCAAATTTAAAATGCAGCCTCAAAAAGAATTAATCAAAAGGAAGCAAGGAAGAGTTTAATAATGCCTACTCACACACACTAAGTAGTTGAGGTCAGTTTTCTACATTCCTAAATAATAAACTTTCTACATTTGTAATGAACTATATCAATACATTTGGAGGAGTAAATTTCAAATGATATGGCTTAAATCAGCATTTTTGCAAAGAGAAAAGGGAAAACAGAAGTGATTAAACAACACAAATTTTAACAAAACATATCTCTCTTTTCTCAGGTTTTCCCGGAGGCTCCACAAGATGGTGCGGCGACTTGTGCCAGACTGTGATGTGCGCTTTTTGCTGTCGCAGGATGGCAGCAGTAAGGGTTCAGCCATGGTAACAGCAGTCGCTTACCGTCTAGCTGCTCAACATGCAGAGCGTCAACGCGTCCTCGACACCTTGCGTTTGAGCCGTGAGCAGTTGCTGGAGGTGAAAAACCGAATGAGTGAGGAGATGGGGCGAGGCCTGTCAAAGCAAGCCCACGAGCAGGCAAGCGTCAAGATGCTTCCCACCTACGTCAGATCAACCCCAGATGGAACAGGTAGCTTTAGGAGAAAATCAGACCCTCCACTTATTATTCAGTTAAGATCTCTTCTCTCTTCTCTTCTCTTTTCTATAACACTTTGTCTTTATTGTCCTCATCAGAGCATGGTGATTTCTTGGCGTTGGACCTCGGAGGCTCCAGTTTTCGGGTGTTGCTGGTGCGAGTGCGAAGTGGAAAGAGACACAATGTGGACATGCACCACAAGATTTACAGTATCCCACAGGAGATCATGCAAGGCACAGGGGAAGAGGTAAAACATCACAGGGGTTAAAGCGCTTTAGTATTTCACACAATGAGAGATTACAGCAACTGAAAAGATGAAACTGAGCGAGCCCTGTCATGTTTTTTGAGGTTGTCTCATCTCTTCCAGATGTTTGACACTGCTCTCCTGAGAAAAAAAAGTTATGTTAATTGTAATTAAAAACACATTTATTGAGTAAAGTTTTAACTTAACATGTCGAGTTTTGTCTGATGCAGTGCATAATTCATTGTATTAAATGCCAGTTTGATTGTTTTGTATTCGATTTTACATGCATTTTCTGGATAAAGATATGTAACTAGAGTACGTCAAAAAATATAAAATTGTAATATAAATGTTGTTGATTATGGGGACATGCACAGCAGTTACCATGTCCTGCAGTATGTTGTATAGTTTCTATAGTATGACATCACAGTCAGTAGTCATTTGCTGTGTAGAAACATGCACCAATGGCACCATATCTGTTGGGGAAGGTAAATTGTAACCTTCTAATGTTTTTTTATATTTGTTCAGCTTTTCAACCACATTGTGGACTGCATTGCTGACTTTCTGGAGTACATGGGCATGAGAGGAACATCCTTACCTCTGGGATTTACATTCTCCTTCCCTTGCCATCAAAGCAAACTGGATCAGGTAGTGTTTGATTCAATATTCATTATAAGTGTAAGACTGCTTATCATAAGTATGATGTCACATTGAATCTAACCTTATTTTTGCATGTTGATGAAGTTTGTGTGAATGACATTAAGTTGGCAGAAACTCTGTTTGTTCCCTTCAACACCTGCATTAATTCCCTCTCCTCCTCTCTGGTGGATTTTCTTAAAGTTGTTAATGTATTTCATTTGCAGTAAAGTAAAGCCTGTGTTTTCATCAGCATGAGTTAAGAAAGGATGACTTTAAGAACCAGCTTAACCATGCTATTTCTTTTCTCACAGTGATGGTAATAGCGTTAATATATTTTCTAGCTATTTTTGATTGAATGTGATTTTTGTTTTCACTTCATTAAGACACTGTTTGTAGCAAAATAAGTGAAGTTTCTGAATTGCTAAATTTTAACTGTACATTTAGTAATGCGGGGAGGTGTCTTTGAAGTGAGAATTTGACCTAAAACAATTATCTACTTTGTTGGACACTATAATTTGCATATTCATGTGTTTAATATTTGTTTTTGTCCATGTGTTCACATGATAAGACTCTTAGCCTTCTACAAGAGCAATAGTGATTCAGGCAGAGAAGCCAGTCTGGACTGAACTCTGCCATCAGAACATTGTGATGGGAAGCACATAAATGCAGCCTAAATCCTGCAAGCTCAGTTTTACCTTTTAACAATGACATATTAACTTGAAAAACAATTCCTAGCAGCTGGAAGTTGGAACAATCAGTGAACTATGGGGGGTATCGTTTAGCTGTTAACGTCAAAGAGAAGCAATATGAATTTGAACTTAAATAAATCATCCTCTCTAAAAGTTTTAATTTCCCAGCTCCATACTGTAATCAACCCGTATTTTTCAGTGTGGTAAACTGAACAATAAAAAACAACCTCACAGCAGCTGCTGCAGTAACCTCCTCGTATCTTCAGTGTAGTGTTTTTTTTTTTTAAATAACAAAAACATAGCATAACCAACAGGAAAAAGGAGACAAACAAAACAAAACAAAACAACACAACATCACAATCACATAAAAACAAAACAAGATACACATTCAAAATTGAACATCTTAATAAGCACAAACAGCCGACATATGTCATCACGTCCAGATGTCCAAGAGGCCTAAATATTTAGATTTCATTATTATGTAGAAGAAAAGAAGAAGAATAAATAAATAAAATACAAGCCTACATCTTGAATTTTACCCTTGAGGTTCTTTTTAATTCTCACCAACCTTCAACTTCAATAAACCATTCCCATCTCTCCCTGTACTTTTTAAGGTCATCATTTCTTTTTGCAATATATCCTTACAAAGTAAAAATGACGTTTAATAAACATTCTAAAGTGGTTGATGTTCAAGGAACCCTCATTAGTAGCTTAAAAAAATAATCGTTTCCTTAATAGAATGATCAAATTAATAATGTAAACCTTTGTCTCTTAAATATCACCTAATATCACAGAGAAAAAGTCTTACTTGGAAGCACATTGCATTCATCCATTCATTGCATTACACATTTTCTGAACTTCCCTCCAAAAATTTGAAACAACATGACAGTACCAAAACAGATATGCAGTTGACTCAGATTCCATAAAACAAAAATGACACTTAACTGACTCGACAATACCCCAAGTTTTTAAATTTTACCTAATAGATATCTTGTAAATTTGTCAAATGTTGTTTTATAAATTAAATTAAAACTTGCTCCCATGGTACAGGGCAATCAAAGTTATCTTCCCATTTTTTAAGTACTGAGTAATTGTAAAGGATCTGAAAACATGCTGCTGTCATTTGTTCAGGGTATTCTGCTGAAGTGGACAAAGGGCTTCAAAGCCAGCGGCTGTGAAGGACAAGATGTTGTTACATTACTTAAAGATGCTGTCCGCCGCAGACAGGTCAGTACACACATCATAAAAACATTCTCTGAAATTATGTTGAGAAATGTGGCCTGTGAATGTTGACAATTGAAGAATATAATAAAAAGAACAATTACACTGATACTGTACAAAAAGCTTCCTATTTCACGTGTAATAGCTCAGAAGAGCAGCGTATTGAATGTGTGGAAATAGCCACATTATTTTATGTGATAAGTGTATGAGAGAAAATTGAAATGGTCACACTGATCTTGTCTGTTTCCTTATAGAATTAGTATATTGATTATGTATTTCTAAATATAGCTGTTGTTTCTGTTCACTGGTGTGTGTGTGTGTGTGTGTGTGTGTGTGTGTGTGTGTGTGTGTGTGTGTGTGTGTGTGTGTGTGTGTGTGTGTGTGTGTGTGTGTGTGTGTGTGTGTGTACACACACAAGTGCACATGCAGGATGTGTCACATGTGTCACATTGTTGTTATTGTTAGCACTATAAGCATTGTGGTGCTACAGAGACACCCCATGCTACAAATCATATTTTCCAGACATTAAAGAACATGTTTGTTTGTTACAAGCCCCAACCATCATATGATCATATCATCATCATTTTGATTTTTTTTTATTCAGTTCGTCTTCACTCTCACTTGTCACAACCTTAATATTGATTAATGTGTTTTTTTAATGGAATTCAGAGATTTAAATGAGTTTATTGTCGCTGCCTCCAGGAATTTGACTTGAACTTTGTGGCTGTGGTTAATGACACAGTGGGAACCATGATGACCTGCGGCTATGAGGACCCCAATTGTGAGGTGGGACTCATCGTAGGTAAGTCTTTCTACCCCCCACCTTCCTCTGTGGTGTGTTTTCACATCAAGCTCTTAAAAATTGACTGGTTTCCTTTCATGACAGTAGTTGTGATACCTGTCCATTCGTCTTTACAGGCACAGGGACCAATGCCTGCTACATGGAGGAAATGCACAACATCGAGCTGGTGGAGGGTAATGACGGTTGTATGTGTGTCAACATGGAGTGGGGAGCATTTGGTGACAATGGTGAACTTGATGACTTCTGCACCCAGTTTGATCGCACTGTCGATGATTGTTCTAACAACCCCGGGAAACAGAGGTAATGGACGTGCAATTCAGTAAATAGATTCTGTCAGTAGATTGCCATAGCCCTGAAACATATTTTGTCACAGTTAGGGAGGAACCACAGCGTTCAGCTGATGCTCAACTTTCAAACCCAAACAGACACATAGGTAAACACAAGAAACTAGTAGCACAAGTTTCTTGTGTTTACCTTAAAGTTTTGTGGGAAATTCACCTGCATAAACATCATATCCCAACAAGAATCTGTGATGTACAGTGCTAAAAAATAATTGGTATGGAGTTCCTCTTTAAAGTTATACTGCTCAGTGACCATTTTCAAATTTTAAAGCTCATCAAATGTTGACAATACAGACTTAGTCTTAGTCTTACAATTTTTTTCTTTTTTTTTTGCTCTTCCTTCTTTTACCTTTCCTCATATCTCAACCTTGCACCGTCAAAGCACAGCATAAGCCCTCAGTGAGATAGTGAATATATTTAAGATGTAAAAAAACTTAATGTGATTAAGCCAACAATGGCAGTAATACAAAGTCTGTGCCGAGTGAGATTATTAGGTCAATTTTACCAGTATCATGCTCAGTCAGTGACTCAGATTAAATTCCTGGAAATATTTGAAAGCAGCAGGGCAGGGGCATGGCGCAGGCTCTACTGCATTTTCAAAGTGGGCTGAAAAAAATCAATTCTCCGATTCAAATTTTCAATTGAATATTCTGATATTAATTCCTAAAATCCCGAGATTGATATTTTAATATAAGCCTTTTACAGTCCCCCATGGGTGTGTGAAGCTGTAACCCCGTTAGTCTTGCGTGACCAGCCTTCAAACGCAACAAGATCTTGTCATGTGAGAGTCAAAAACATGGCAGACGCAGCTCCACTGAAGACACAGGTCTAAAGGCAGATGTGTGGCTGCATTTCAGATTAAATAACTATGAAGAGAGTGAAGAGATGGACAAAAGCAAGTCCATATGTAAGATGTGCAAGCCATGTGTACCTGTTGATACACACTGTCACTGGTGCATTACTTACCTACCTATTACATCTTGAGATGTGTCCAAATTCTGAGCATCTCATTTATATCCTGGCGAATTTGGTACATTAACAGAAATATTTTTTAACTGAATCAAATTCAGTTGAATCAGGAATCACATCAAATCACCACCTTGTGAATCAGAATTGAATCAATTCAGGAAATCAGGGGCAATATCCAGCTCTACTAATAATGTGGATGTCCTCAAGCCCCCAATTTCAGTGTTGAAGACCAGGCACCTGATGTGTTTTTATCACTTTTGTTGTGCCCACTTACTTCTTAATATGAGTAATGTTATATCAGTACTGTGCTCAGTTTCATCATTACATCAAGTGCTCTACATTAGTGATGGTGGTTCAAGCAGGTTCACGTGGAGCCAGGAAATCACCAAGTAGCTACAAAGGCAAAAAATGCACCAGTGCACAGCAACAGGAATGGCATTCAGACTGTTTTAAAATGTCAGCTTTGCTTTAGTTTGTTTATACAACACCAATCAGGCTTACAGAGGCATAGGATAATTAAAAACATTAAAATAAAATGATAAGAAGTCATTAAAATTGGAAAAAAAAGGAATAAAAACAATAAGTTAAAGATCATGAAAACAGACCGTAGAAGGTTATTCACCACAGGAGACATGTTCTTGCAGAATGTTTGATTTGAGGATAATTACTGGAGGAGAAACAGGATCATTAGGCCTCAAATATCTTCCTAAACAAAAACTGTAAATCATCTGCAACATCCACAGACCACTGTGTAACAAGACTGATATTAAAATGTAAAATGTAAATACTTTTGATTAAATAATAATAATAAACTTAATGTATGTATCACTTTTCTTGACAAAGTTAAAAAGTGCTTATTACAAAGAAAAAGGGGAATTAAAATGGCAACTAAAAACAAAAACATCCTAAACCTAAAGTAAGTTTACATGAAAATATAAATTGTTTGTATAGTGGGAAAGTAAAACACAACATGTCAAACATGCATAAAATCCATAACAGAATGAAAGGCAGGCAAACAGATTATCAAGGCTGCTGGGGTTGTTGGTTTGTAACGGGGCATATAACTGTATCATCTGCGTAAGAGTGGTGGAAGATACCATGGTTCTGAATCATCTGGCTGAGAGGAAGCATGTATAGTGAAAACCACAGAGGGCCACGGACAGAACATTAAGGAACTCCACAGTTAAAATGGGCAACAGAGAAAGATATATTGGATAAGTATGAATGTAGTAGATTTAGAGCAGTTCCCTGACGACCAACCCAGGTTTCTAGACAGTGCAGGAGTGGGGAATGATCAATAAAGTCAAAGGCAGCACACTAGCGACAGGACTGAGTAGTCACCTCTATCAAATGTGATGGTGGGAGGACTGGAAGCATTTTACACAGTGACTGAAGTATCTACTTAAATGTACCCTGTGAACTTTTCTTCTAAACAAACAAAGTTATATTTATATTCTGTGTTATTCACAAAAATCCATTGATTGTATCTTTAAGGTGTAACAAATGTCATGAATGCACTCTCTTCCTCACAAAACATTTATAAGCTGACTTTTCTTACAAGTTTGAATCCTTTGCTGCGTTTCTTACCACCGTCTATTGATCAGTGGAATAATGTGACAGTATCAGTGCCACTGATACTTGTGTGTATGCATTAGCAGCTGTGGAGATAGTTTATCTTGTCTTTCGTTTGCTGCCTGTGCCTTGACTGATGAAATTAAGAACCATATTGTCTGGAATGAGTACGTTGATGAGAGGAGCATATACCATTGAGCATTATATATATATATGGACACACGTATATGAACAATGGCCGGATGTCATCAAACGCACCACGAGTCTCAGTCTCAGACAGTGGTGACTAAATTACTACTGAAACTCAGCACTTAAACACTTGACTGTTGTGTCCGTTGTGTCAGAGGTTTCATTTGATTTTCTGATAATTGACAGGGTCTTAATCCTCCGGTCGTTGATCTTGTCCACTTTACGACTGACTGGCAACTTGCGAAACTCGCAAAACAGTTGTTACAGTGAAGTCCAGCTACACTGTAAAACAGCCGATTCGTAAAGGCCTAATAATGTTTGAACTGGAATTTACATATGAGCTGACACATATACAGTACTCTCTAGTAGGCTCTGTGGTCACTCACAGAGCCTACTAGAGAGTTTGAGAAACACTAAATTTAAGTTTGAGAAACACTAAATTTAAAACATGATATTTTAGCTAATTCACTCACAGACCAGTAGGGGTCACTTGTGGACCACTGGCGGACCACACTTTGAGAAAGGCTCAGTTAAACCTTTCCCTGTAACAACTGCTCTACTATTAAACCTTTGTTTTGCTTTTTGGCTTTCATTCAAGAACATTATGAGCATTATCCGTCTGATTAATTAGATTTCTAATGACAATTTTATTTTTCTGGCAGGTATGAGAAGATGATCAGCGGCATGTACCTGGGGGAGATAGTAAGGAATGTGTTGATGGATTTTACTTCTAAGGGCCTGCTGTTCAGAGGGAAACTGTCAGAGCGACTCAAGACCCACGGCATCTTCGAAACAAAGTTCCTGTCACAGATTGAGAAGTGAGTGATACAGACTGTTTTTAGCTTCAGTGTCTCTCCTCAGCCCACCCCCGTTCACCATTAACTGTGCAGTAAGAAAAGAAACAAACATGAGACATAATGATAGTTCATTCACAAGGCCACAAAAACACAGCAGGACGTCAGTGATGTGTCAGAGCTACCAGATGAGATCACATTTGTCACGTCTACACAGTGACAGGCTGTTACATGTAAATATCAGCCACTTTGGCCCTACATTACACCCAGAGCAAAGCACAACACAAGTGTCTTTGCTAGTTTCAGACCGATGCAGTCGTCATTTTCCCATCCAATGCCCACGTTGTTTAAATAGCAAATACACTTGCACTTATCTGAGTGGCCTTGGGCGTGTTGGTCTTACAAAATGGTGTAGTCGGGCACATTATTGGTGCTTTTCTATCTTGAGGCAGCAGAAAGTGACTGACCAACAAAAAACTGGTTTTAAGTCAGTAGCACAGTATTTCACTGTTTTTTTAAGGTGCATTGTCAAAAGAGTAATATGCACAACACAGGCGGGTGCACAACTTGCCTGTTACACACAAGCAGAGTGAGCTGAAAATGTGCTTCAGATGTTTGTATAAGTCAGTGGAATAGTCCAGTCCACAGAGGGTCGGAGCTTCTTTGTGACATGTTGTGTGTTGCACAACATTGCCATGTGTCATGGATGCATGAGACTCTGCAGAGATGCGTTCTTTATTACTACTTGGTAAATCCACCAATGTTTCCCATTCATCACCTAAATTTGTCACCACAGTTTCATAATGAACCAAAGATTTGTTCATATGTCTCATCATGTAACAAAAACAGATGTCTAGCAGCATGTTGATTTGCTTCCTTGCCCCTCAGGACACATAGAGCTGCTGTGTGTGTGTGCTGGGCCTGGGCTCACTGGTCAGTCACAATATGTAATGAACTTGGAACAAAACAAAGCACATCTGGCTTTTAAAAGAAGTAGGAGATGTCACTCTGATTGGTTCATTGTATGTTACGCCGAAAACATTCCCCTGATTAGTTAAGAGTACATAGTACCATGCGACTGTTTTTTCCGCCATTAAAATAGCAAAAGTGAAATGGACAATTCTCCCTGACCCCACAGAGATCGTCTGGCCATGCGACAGATCCGCTCAATTCTACAGCACCTGGGCCTCACCAGCTCCACGTGCGATGACAGCGTGCTGGTGAAGGAGGTGTGTAGTGTTGTCGCCCGCCGTGCAGCTCAGCTCTGTGGTGCCGGTTTAGCCGCTGTAGTCGACAAGATCCGACAGAACCGCAACTTGAATCAGCTCTCCATCACCGTGGGAGTGGATGGCACCTTGTATAAGACACACCCTCAGTAAGTAGCAATTATGATCTTTTGCTGTATTTGCTCACCTGTCATCCATTGATGTGGCATTGCTAAAGTGTACAATACCTGCCTTGTGGGAAATGGCTTCAGTTGCATGTCATCACAATAATGACTGGATCACTTGCAGGACAATAAAGAAAGCCAATGTTTTCTTAACCCTCTGGCATCCATTATGATGATTTTTTTATGCATTAATTTCTGTCTTTGTGTGGCACATTTTAAACAGTCCCTAGCCCACATGCGTTGTATCTTTTTTCAGCACAAACTCTGCTGTAAGTCTGAGAAATTATAAACTGCTAGGAACCCAAGATATATGAAATATAACACAGGCACCTGTGAAAACGCTCATGTCTTTAGTCATAATCAATCGAAATATTATTATAGAAAAGCTCAAAGTTGTAAAAACTATTGTATTACTATTTGTAGACACCAATTTAGCAGAAATACGCAAGAAATTAAACTATAATTCAGTCTATTTACATGTAAAGGGATTTTATTTCAACTAATATTTGTGACTTTTTAGTTAAAATTTAAAATTCATGTAAATCATGAAAAATATTAACAATTCAGACTTTTGTGTTGAATTATCTTTGAAGGTCTCAACATGATATATAAAGTTATGTAACTGTAAATTAAACAGTGGTCACAGAAGGACTTCAGAGGGTTAAATGTGGACTTACCACAGCTACATCCTATATGTACTCTGACATCAGAGTAGAAGGTGAGATTTTCATGTAACTTGATCATCACTGGACCTTTTTTTTTTTTATTCTCTTTCCTCCTAAAGTTTCTCCAGCATCATGCAAGAAACACTGCAGGATTTGGCACCGCAGTGTCCGGTGACGTTTCACAAGTCAGAGGATGGAAGTGGGAAGGGAGCAGCGCTGATCACAGCTGTGGCCTGTAGGATCAAGAGCGGAGGGCAGCACTGAATACCCAAGGTGATTCTGGTGTAACCAGAGCTACTGCAACTGATGTTCTGTACTGGGTAACCATAGTTACATACACTCAGACTGAGTTTTTTTGTAGTACTGAAACATTTAAATTGTGTTATCTTGTGTGTGTGGTTCACATGCACATGTGCGAATGTATTTTTGGTTCGGAATAGATGAGCATAGATGAGCTAATTAAAGTTCAGCTGTTTGTTAGAGAAGTTGTACCTTCTGTGCAATATGACTGTTACCAGCTGTGTGACTTTTTTCACTGCTCTTTTTTCTGCCATCTTTCCAATTTGTACAACAACTAGGAAGCACCTTGTGCTAAAGAAAAATCCTAACTTAATTTAGAAATGACCTGAGCACATCTGCATGACTTTTGCAATCAGAATACTTTGTTCTATCATGATTGTGTTCCACCTGTAAGTAAACCAGAATAAAATTAATTTTGTGTTACATTGTCTTTTCATTGGGAGCAGAGCATCTGTCATCAGAAAGAAAAAAAAAAACAACTAGACTGACGTAACTGGAACCAAGGCTCCTCACTTGATGACAGGTTTAGATTGAGATCTTGTCATGATTCACAAGAAGTGTCATAGCTGCTCAATTCCTTACTATTATGGACTCTTTTAACTTTGTACAGGTTGTTTCTGTTCCAGCTCATCACCATGGCCACACATAAGATTTAGGTTTTATATTCGGTCTGACTGTTCCCTCTCTGCCTTTGAAGCGGATGAGGATTTCTGACTGTGTGTACGTCAGGTTTTCCACCAGGTTTCATCCTGCTCCTATACCACAATCACCTGCTTCCTACGCCTGCACAATAAATGCTTCTACAACTATCAATTTGATGGATGCTTACTAAGGCCCATCTCTCTGCCGCGAACACAGAGAGAGTTAATCACCCAGTTCAACTGAACTTGTGTAGCCATCTTGGACTCTGCTCAAAATTAGAAAACCAAAACTCAAGCCTCATCAATGACACACATGCCCTCAGGCAACTATGTAGGAAAGCAGAGAGAAAATGGAAAAAAAGACAGGCTTCAAGTGTCATTCGACATACTGAGAAGCTGTCTTGCTAATTATCAGCAGCCTGTTAAAGCAGCAAGGGAAAATACTTCATTGACATAATCACCATGTTATAGGCTCTGGGTACAGCTCTTGTTGTTGTTGTGTGTTACATTGTATGGTGCAGTCTTCCCCGTTTGAATTAAGGCTTATCGGGCAACCTATCATCTGCTGCTCCGGAAGTGGATTTCCTCATTGTCCACGCCTCTGCATCGCTTCTCTCTGCCTGTGCCTGGGTGGTCTTCATTTTCGGCTGGTCCCTCCCCTCCTGCGGCGTTGGGCCAAGCCGCCTATCACAAGCCTGCCTGGTCCCATACTCGGCCGTATAAAAGCTGCCTCATGGAAATGGCTGGGATGGGCTGTGATTTGATCTGAGCAGTCCACCTCTGTACCTAAACTATGAACAGTTTTATCTGTGCTCAAAGTCAAACACTGTTTTCACATCATACACAAGCCAATCAAAATAAAAACACCACTGAGTGTTTGTTACACACTCAGAGCATGTAGCTCCATAAATGTTTACTCTTTGTAATCGAGTAAAGGCTTTTTATGTTTTCTAAAAAAAATATTCATAACCCAGTAACAGTTAAAGTACTGCCCACTGTAAGTACTGTAAGCAATAAAGTATTGACTTTCTGGATCGGCACTAAAACTTCAAAAGCAAAAAGGATACATATGTATGTGTATGTATGTGTATATATATATGTGTGTATATATATGCCTGTTCTCTGAACCTCCTGATTACTGCTAACCTCACTGTCATGCCATGAATGTAGTACTCTTTCTCCTCTAACACACACTCTTCCTCCTTTTACCTTTCAGATTATCTTCCTCCTTTGTTAATTTCAAACTTTATACTGGTTTCATCACATCATTAGCAGAACGTATGAACAGTTTTGAGTTGTTGTATGTAAGCTATGACACCTGTGCTTTAATTGTGTTTACCTTTTGTCATGTGTGGTTACCATTATGCATCACAGTGCACAGTGTGTTTCTGTGACTGAAAGTGTGTTTAGAGTTTTGCAAAAAGGTGAAATGAGATCTGCAACTTGTGTCTAACTGGTAAAAAATGCTCATGGTTTTACCAAAAAAGTGATTGATTCAATAACTGACGCTTTGGTTCAGAGAATGGTATTTCAACTCTCAGAAAATAACAATCTTATGGAGAAATTTGAGTCAGGTTTTAGGGCATGTCACAGCACGGAGTCAATGTTACTTAAAGTTTCCAATGACCTACTGCTGTCTCCTAAGTCTGGAAAACTTGCCATACTAATCCTACTAGATCTTAACTCCACCTTCATACAGTGGACCATACTATCATCCTGAACCTTCTGGAGTACCAGGTTGGTATCCAGGGTAGAGCTCTGCAGTGCTTTGCCTCATATCTAACAGATAGATCTTTTTCAGTCACATCTGGAAACCTTCTCATCTGACACCAACACCTGTGGAGTACATTAAAGCTCCATTTTAGGGCCCATTTCATTTGCCTTGCACTTGCTTCCTTTAGGTTCCGTCTTCAAAAAATATAAAAGGGACTTTAAGTAGCAACAGTCGAAGGGACGGCTACAGCATGATGCGATGTCTTATATTCTATGTCGAAACTTCCTACTGTTGCAGCCCAACTGTCTACTACAAGAGAAAGACTAGTTTTCCATACCCTTTGATACGTGAAAGAGTTTGCAGGTAATTATGTTTTTGTCATATTTGACAGTCATTTTGTTTATATTCAATTATACCATTAGTAGTTTAATGGATTATGAGTATATTTGTTAAAGATACATGATAATTTGACAGATTTTTTTCCACTTTATATATAGGCATGTCAGCAGAAACTTGTTAACCTACTGTCTTCTGTGTATTGATAAAACCACGGTGCTGAAGTAACAGGCGGATTTATACAAACTCTTCATTTAAGAGACATATTCTAACAATGTTCAGAGCAACCTGGGGAGCGACCTTGGTTTCCTGAAGGGGTGAAGTAGCTTTTGTTAGGGTTAAATGTTGCTTAGTGATCCCTGATTTCTACTACTATGGCAAAATGTTGGGATTTATACGGGCGCAGTAGCTGTCACTTCATTAATATCTCCTATCATTGCTCCGCTGGCAATGATGATGTTAATAACTCAGTTAGCTGTCTCCTTGTCTGTCTTCAATGAAGATACCTCCATGCTCAGGCCCAAAATCTTAACATTTGACAAATTAACACTGTTGTGAAAGGTTTCTATTTCCAGCTAAGAAACATCGCCAAACTCAATCCATTCCTCACCTTTAATGATCTGAAGGTTGTTATAAACGCCTTTATTTCCTCTAAACTGGATTATTGCAATGCTCTTTATTTAGGCATTAGTCAGTCCTCCTGTCTCGTCTACAGATGGTGCAGAATGCCGACTGTTAACTGGAACCAAGAAGAGAGACAGCATCACATCTGTTCTACCAGTCAAGTATCGAATTGAGTTTAAGGTTCCTTTATTTGTTTTTAAGGCTTTACATGGTCTGACACCCAAGTCAGTCTCTGAGCTCCTCTGCTCCATTTCCATCCCCAGATCTCTAAGATCCTCAGACCTGCCTGTCTCTTGGTTGAGCCTGAGGGAAAAGGGTGATTGTGCTGTTTGCTGTAACCGCCCCAAGGCTTTGGAACAATTTACCTCTTTTGATTAAATGTTCCCTGTCTGTGGACATTTTTAAGGCTAAATTAAAAACCCAGCTTCCTCAGGCTTTTGAGTGTCCTTAAGGTTTTATTTTTTCACTTTTAGCTTCTGTCTTTTATATTTTAAACTGTTTCGCTGTCTGTCTCTGCCTATAGGATGGTTTGTTAAGTCATCTCAAATCTTATCTCCTTGCTTTTGTTTCCTTTTAGCTGCTACCATGTTATGCTATTTTATTTATGTTTTATTGTACAGCACATTGGTTAACTCTGGTTGTTTTAAATGTGCTTTATAAATAAATTTGATTTGATTATTTAGTGTCAGCACAGATCTAAAACCTTAGTCTCTTATATGATTTTATACCTGCAACTACGCTATTCTGAGTCAATAAAAAAAAAACTGTGCCAACATTAAACATTGAATTCAATGGGGGTGGATTTGACGAGCTAGAGAATACACAATGAGTCTCAATTGCTTGTCTGGAGGAGGAAGTTAATTAAACCACAATAGTCAAAAAGCGATAAGCAAGGATTAGTGGTTTTCCTGCGGCTGGGTGATTTAAGGGAGTGCATACCAGAAAACCAGGATTAGTTCTAGTCTTGTTTGTTAATTTATATTTTTTTCCTATTTTTATTCATTATAATTTGTATTGTGCTAAGGAATGTGGATCTGCAAAGGTCTGATAAGGTCTGTAACTTAATTTCAATCACTTTCATCACTTTGTTCTCCCTGTGCTCGCGTTGGTTCTCTCTGAGTACTCCAGCTTCCTCCCACAGTCCAAATACATGCACATTAGGTTAATTGGTGACTCTTAAGTGTCCATATGTGTGAATGTGTGCGCAAGTGGTCTCTATATGTCAGCCCTGTGATGGACTGGCAACCTGTCCAGGGTGTACCCTGCCATTGCCCAATGTCAGATGGGATTGGCTCAAGCCCGTGACCCTGCACAGATAAGCGGTATAGATAATGGATGGATGGATGGAGAAGTGAAGACAGACTGTAATGGACTTCACATGACAATATTCACAACCTGGAATACTTCTATGAAAAATGCTTTTGATTCTTTTGATCTGTGGATCCTTACAGACTAAAGGAATATATATAACTGAGGAATATATAGACAATCGGACCTTATGACTGCTTCAAAGGTTAGGAGTTGTCATTTTATCGGTCATCCAACAGTTACCATGGTCAAAATACATGAAACCAGGACTGACCCCCTTTTTTATTTCGTAGATAAAAACATTGGCTCTTTTAATGATATGTTGACTGGAAATATCCTTCGTTTTTCATTTCAGAAATCTGGTCACCTTAGGCCAGACAAGGGCTAACTGGTTAGCATGCTAACGTCAGTAGAAGAAAAACAGTGATGGAAATAATAGAAAAACAAGTGATCATTGGCGTTGCTTTCTACCGCTGCAGACAGCTCTTGGTGAGTAAAGGAATGAAGTTTGATGCTGAACTCACATAATTTCTTCTTAATTGGTAAGTAAACAGCTGCTGATGCTAACGTGTTAGTAGCAAAACTTGCGTGTAGCTCCGTTAAGAGGAAACTTTCACTAATTGCTGAACTGAAGGGTAAGTTTTGAGAATGTGTTGTTTTGTTACAGTTGTTAACAACATCTGCTTGTATAGTCATTACATCAAAAAGCATAGATATTGCTTTTGTATCCAATGGTGTAATCTCCCCACTAATGATAATATAATGTTTCACCTGCTTGATAAAGCAGAGGAAACATATGA